GAATTCATAACTCTTTGGAAGGTTCCGGGACTCGTTTTCATTCCCTGTATCATTCGTTTGAAATGCCAGTGACCTTGGTTAGTCGAAAAGGCTGTTAACTCTCGTGAGTCTTCTTCCATCAAAATTTGGTAAAAACCACTCGATAAATCTAATAGAGAGAATAATTGACTATTTCCTAGTTGATCTAGTATTTCTGTAATATTTGGTAAAGGGTGAAATTCATTTATAGTAGCTTCGTTAAGTGCCCTAAAGTCTACTACTACTCTAAACTTTTGTTTTCCTGAATTGTCCATTTTCTTTTGTACTAATAATAGTGGGGAATTCCATGGACTTCTCGATTTCTCGATAATTCCATTTTCTTCCATTTTTTGAATTTGTGAATTTATTTCCTCCTGTTGTGCGTGTGGTAATCTATAAGGTCTACGATAGATAGGTGGCTGATCCTTTTTTAACTTAATAGAATGTGTACCGACATTGGTGAATGTTAAAACATCCCCTTCCAAATGAAATATGTTATTATATCGTTCGCATATTTCGTAAATAGATTGTTTTTCAATTTCGTCCATGTGGTCAGTTATTATTACTTGTTTCAAACGTTCTATTCGTTCTTTATGATCATTTGTCGATTCTACATTATATATTTCGTATTCAGTATCAAAGAGTATTTTATTTAAATCAGTTTCAGATATATTTTTCGTTTCTTCCGAGATATTCAACATGCTAACTATTGCCCTACCATTATTAACGATTGATACTGTACTACTGCAATATACGTCTTTTACTAGTTCTTGCTTATGTATAAATATTTCTTTGCTTTCTATGAGTGGGTCAGCTATCTGTATTCCTACAATAGTTTCAGTCCGCGGATTTAATTTAATAAAACTGGTTTGGTCGGTCTCCTTGAAATTTGTTAGCGCATGCGAGGTCGTTTGAATAATTAATTTGTTGTTTGCTACATCGACTATTGCGTTATTTTTCGACAAGAAATCGTTTCCTAATATTCCGTCCTTGGGTATTGGAAATCGTGCACTCACGATATGAAATTCTGTTTTAATGTTTTCGCTATTTAATTTAATTAATATTGATATTTTCCCTATGGTTTTTGTAAGACATTCATTTATACCGCGTAGATTTATTTTTTGCGTTTCGTCTACTTCTAGTTCTTCGCGTAAGCAATTTATTTTGAGAATATTTACCTGACTACCTGTATCTATCATTAAATGTAATTGATTTGTTTTTGCGGCATTAGAATCGAATGTTATATGATTATTTTCTAGTTTTGCGAATATGTGAAATATTCGTTCGTCGGCTGTTCCGCGATAATCTGGTTTATCGTGCGAGTACCGCGTACCTCGTTCGATACATTGGCGTTTCCCGAATTATTTCTACTTTCGTCGTTTCTCTTTTTGTAACATGAATCTACATTATGACCGATTTTATTGCAATATGAACACGTAACTGGTTGTGCATTATAATTTGTCGGCGGTTGCGTAAAATTATTTCTATTAGGTGGACGGTTGTTATTTCCGTTGCTCGCGTAGTTAGGTCTCGAATTATTTCTACATTGTGATGCAAAATGATTTCCATTGCAGTTATAACATTTTATTGGTGGTCTATTAATTGGTTGAGAGAAATTGTTTGCTCGTGGATTATTATTTTGCGCAAAATTATTCGACCTTACAAAGTTATTTGGTCTTACGTTCCTGTTGTTCCTATTTTCATAATTCGATATACGTTGATTATTGTTTTGCGTATAACTACTCGAATAATGATTTCTATTTTCCTGTTCTAATCTTAATTCTACCTGTTCTGACATAGCGATTTGTTTCGCGATTTCAAGAGTTTTAGCATTACGAGATTTTACTATCGTTCTGATCGGTTCTACTAATCCTTTAATAAATACTGCTAGAGTTTGGTCCCTTAATGTTTCATGTATAATTTTTGCTTCTGCAGGTTCTTTGCCTAATGTACTTACGGTACATAACTGATAATATAGTTTTTCTACTCTATGGCAATAATCGTTCACATCCTCATTGTGATTCATTCTAATCGAATTTAATTGAAGTTGTAACGACGATGCATTGGTTGTTACTTCGAATGCGTCTGTTAAATATGCTTTTATAAATTGCCATTTTGTTACGTTTTTATATTTAATCATTTCTAGTGCTCTACCTGTTAATCGCGTAGTGATATATTTTACTAATATTGGTGCGCTAGTTGCGTCGACTAAACCTACTGCCATATCACATGCATTTATGAATTGGTAAATATCGTCTATCCCTGTGCATACTGGAATTAATTTAAAAGCGTCTTCTAATTTTATGGTTACTGCCATTTTTTTATTGCGTGATTTAGATATAAAATCTAACGACTGATGTTCAAAACTATCTGTGACTTTGCTACGTGTGACTACTCCTAATTGTGGACTTGGGGTTTTACTTGTGCTACCTAATAATTGGGTATCTACTATAGTATTTAACTGGGCTTTCTGCTGGGCTTCAAACTGGGCTTGGGCTTCTCTCTGGGCTAATAACTGGGCTTCTAACTGGGCTTCTTCTACTACACTAGTGTCATACAATGAATTAGCTACGTTCAAGGGAGATGTATCTTCTTTGTCCATAAATTAACTTAACCACCTATTTAATACGTTAATAATCATAATAATACTCAATAAAATTCAATAATGCCCTATAAATACAATAATAACTTCAATAATATGCCCTCTAATAAATTCAATAAACTTCAATAATACTTCAATAATAAAAATGCCCTCAATAAATCAATAAACTTCAATAATAATCAATAATAACTTCAATAAAAATATGCCCTCAATAATAAAACTTCAAATAATCAATATGCCCTCAATAATTCAATAAACTTCAATAATAATCAATAAAATATGCCCTCAATAAAATTTAAAACGGTTTACACCATTACACTTATAATCAACTACCTAGATTTATCTTAATATGTCTTAATTATGTTGCATACGTCTATGTAACAAATTTAAATAACTATTCACTCACAATAATGCTGCGTTCATGGCTGATGATGACATGTTGCCGTTGATGATGCTGCTAATGGATTTGTTGGTACTGCAATGTGACTTATTTGTTTTTTTTTTGTTGGTTCCTCCTGGAGTTGTCTTCGCCAAAGAGTGATCAATTCTTCGTTGTTGACAGTAGCCTTTGATGGTTGCCTCCTTTTGGAATCCTTACCGATCTGCGCCAGTGTTACATGCGGCCCTTCAGGGATCCAAAAGCTGGTGTACTTGATAAATAATAATAGTCAAATTAGTATGATAATCAAATGTAATATATTAAACCAGACAAAACAAGCAGAATAATAGTGTTGATTGTAGTGAATTGTAGCTCGTTCCGAAGTTGATAATCTCCGTGTAAGTCGTGTGTGATGGCTGGGCGGCTAAGCGAGTCGTGTGGTGTTCTCGTCTCTGGATACATCTAACTCAGGCTGTCTCGCTGTCCCCTATATATATGGTGGCGGCGTCCTTTGAAAGTGAGCGGCGCGTGTACAGTCGTCCTTGATATGGACCTCACGATTATGAAAGTGGTATTCGTAGTCGAAAACACTTTTGGGTGTGGTCGCATTCCTGGTTGTTATTATGAGCAAATATATAATATTGCGTAATCCCATTACACTAGTTTCACTGATGTTTAAATGTTAGTTTATTTATGGCTCAGAAGCTTCGGTATGGTGAGAACCATAGTTTCTTTCTAAGTTGTGACGGCCTAAAAGTGAATGTTTAGTGTAGATAGGAATGTCGTGCCGTATCCATGTGAATAATATCAGTGGTTACAATACATAATTATTGTAGAATGGCGTAAATTGGTATAAATACTAAATAGGCAATAGCTCAAAATAAATTAAAATATTTGGAAAATATCGTTGTGTTTGTGTATAGTAACAATAATGTATCAACATTAACGAAATGTCTCAAGTCCCAGCATAAATTATTTTTTAAATTACAACAAAATAACAAAAATCGATCAATCCAACACCGTCAAATTTGAACTTAAATCTTTTTAAAAAAAATTGTGTACTTATTTGTACTATTGAGAATTTTAGGTTTCTGTAAGAACGACTTATATAGTATCAGCTATTAAATTGTTAACCCTTCGCAATTAAAATTAACAATTTGGAAATTTTAATGATTATTAAAAATTTGGACTTCATGAAGCAGGCGGTTATACTAAAGTTATGACTATGTAGGTATCTTCAACATTTTTTAAACTGATATAGAAAAAATTATCTGGCTCTTATATTACATATGGTTTTCAAGTTTATTGGTCGGACATAACATTTTTTATCAAAATTTAAAGTAAAAAAATATGAATAATATTTAAAATTACAAACACTTATACGTAGCTTTATTAAGTTGAAATATTTTGAGGATTTCACTAAGTATTAAATATGATAAATTAAGTATAAGTGGAATGCTCCAACTTCCAAGTTTCTGCGGTGAATATTTTTTGAACTACAAAAATAACAAAAAAACAAAATAAGTTTCGTTAACTTTTAGAATTCTTGAAAATCCATAATAATCCATAATATATTATTCCATTTTTTGTTTCTCCCTGTTATTTTAAAAGTACCTAATGAGCAATTTCAATATTGCCAAACTAAAATAAACCAGCATAAAGTTAAAGATTGAAACATTTTTACTAATTTATGTAGGTACAACGTATGTTCATACACAAGAAAAATGAATAATTTTAAAATTTAAAATAAATCTGTTCACTGCTCCACTCAGAATTAGAAATAGTTCTTCATGAATAAATCAAATGATGTCAAGCAGAACTTAATAGTATTTTATATGTATTTAATATTAAGTACAATTTAAATTTACTAGTTGTTATTTTACACTTTACAGTCCACATATTATTTTATTAAATACTAGCCGACCCGTCACAGCTGATTGAGTGATTGGTTGTTTATTTTTAATTAATTTAATTAATTCAGAAATTATTTGAAGATTGTCATCACGACATCGCAGTACAATGTCTCTTTTGTCGAATTGTTGTCCTGTAATTATAACGGCTACCTCGATAACGACCGCGATGTTCACCATTCGGAACTTTGTTAGAGTGAATTACCAATTTATAGTCTGTAACATTAGAAGTAACGCTTTCAATGGCTGTTTTAAAAGACTTTACATGTCTATTATGAGTGTTGAACATGTCTTGTATGGATCTCATTAATATGCTGTCGAGGATCTCTCTGTTACATCGTTTAGATACTTGATGTGGAAAAAGACTGCCGGCAACGTGGTAAACCTGACCCTGTACTTTAAAGGTAGGCATAAACCCTTTATGAACCACCTGCTTGCTTCTGAATGAAGTCATTTGGAAAGCATTGTTGTAATAACGAATATCGCGTGTGAATTGTTTATGTTTTGTGTGACTTCCATTAAGAAGGGAATTCAATGGTTCTGGTGGTATAATTATATCATCCAATTTTACTTTGCCATTAGAGCAGCATAAGGTTTTGCATTCTTCTTTTCATCTCAGAGCAGAACAAAACTGGCAAACTATTGTAGGATTTTCTATAAAAACTGTTGGGTTATTTTTGTAATCCACCGTTAACTCATAGTTCATAGCAGAATAATCTTTTCTCGACCATGAACCTCTGTCGTTAACAACATCATCATTATTTGACTGTCGTTCTCTACGTACTACGCAAATTCTTTTGGCATCATTCTGAGATGGACCAATGTTTAACTTTCGTCTAGGCATTTTAAAAATGAAAGTAGTACAATCAATTACGGCTTCAAAGCCAACAATCAACATTTAATAAAATAACAATCAAAATCGATAAAAGACGTTGCCTTGGTTATTAGCAGTACAATATGTACAATAATATATATATATATAGGTATATATACAATTTACACGTTTATTTTAATTAATAATAACTAATTATTTATTAACTTAATCGGACTAATTTTTTGCCTTAAACCTTCTCTGTGATGTCCTCTTTAATTTAAAAAAAATTGCACGACGATTGAATAAGTAGTTTCGGAGTTTATCCCGAACAAAAAAAAGCGACTTCATTTTATATAGTAGTATATAGATATAGAAGCCATTATACTTATATATTTTATTTATTTATTTAATTTTTCTATGTACACACTATAAGAACCCATCAGGTGAATTTGCTCATATTTGGCATAGAACTACAACACTTAAGCCGAAATCGACTACTAGACAATTGGATACAACTACTGCTGCTCCAAAATCAACATCATATCGTCCGAGGTCGACTTCTGAAGAATGGGATACAACTTCTTCTGCTCCCAAATCAACATCATATCGTCCGAGGTCGACTTCTGAAGAATGGGATACAACTTCTTCTGCTCCCAAATCAACATCATATCGTCCGAGGTCGACTTCTGAAGAATGGGATACAACTTCTTCTGCTCCAAAATCAACATCATACCGTCCGAGGTCGACTTCTGAAGAATGGGATACAACTTCTTCTGCTCCCAAATCAACATCGTATCGTCCGAGGTCGACTTCTGAAGAATGGGATACAACTTCTTCTGCTCCAAAATCAACATCGTATCGTCCGAGGTCGACTTCTGAAAAATGGGATACAACTTCTTCTGCTCCCAAATCAACATCGTATCGTCCGAGGTCGACTTCTGAAGAATGGGATACAACTTCTTCTGCTCCAAAATCAACATCGTATCGTCCAAGGTCGACTTCTGATGAATGGGATACAACTTCTTCTGCTCCCAAATCAACATCATATCGTCCGAGGTCGACTTCTGAAGAATGGGATACAACTACTGCTGCTCCTGTATCAACCGAAGGAACAACTCATCATCATCACCATCGAAGGAGAACAACAAGAAAACAATAAGATCGAGGGAAATTTACAAACAATATTAAAATTATAATTAACTCATTATACAGATATCGAATTATTTTTGTTTAGACTGTACACTATAGCCAGCACGAGCATGAGGTGTTTTAGACAGTTGTTTAAGGCACCATTCTCATGGGAGTGCTAGAAATTACTAAATAAAATTTAACAAATTTGTATTTTAATTTTTGTTGTGAAAATTAAAAATGTATTCAATGAGTTACGCATGATATATTATATTCCCATAAAAGATAACTCGATGGTAAAAATCGTAAAATTTATGAGTAGTTGGTTTTTCCTGCAGCGTTATTATTAAAACATTGAAAGTTTTTTATTGTCATAAGGCCAGCCACGAATCGACGGATACTGATGCAAAACGCAACGATGGCAACAATTAAAAAAAAAAGGCAGGTAAGTGGATGTCGCTCAGCTGTACAGTAGGTTACAAGTTGGTCATTGTTTAATGGATTGTATTAAACTTGAATTCAATGATATAATATCATTGTATAAGAAAAACGATTCTGAACGGAGACGGTTTGTCAGTCTGTATATTTTATATTGTCATTAATTATTATAACATGTAAGTTGTTTTAATACTATAAACATGATATTTATATAGATAATACCTAACTATTTTTTTTTATTCGTTGCTACGGTGATAAACAAATTGTTAGAAATTAAAATCCCATTTTAAGCGGTTTTTCGTAATTTTTCAGTACTTTTTCCCGTGGCTATTGACTATTGAGAAAATCGAAAAATGACCTCTCTAAAGTACCATTTTGGTCCAATTTGCTAAAAGATAAGGTACTATATGTTGAAATCAAAGCACTCCTTCTGGTAGAAATTTTGTATACAGGATATAAAAAAAAAATAAAAAAAAAAAATAAACACCATTGTAAAACCACTAGCTTCCTTGCTCCGCTCAGAATCTAAAAGACAAGTTTATTATCATTGATTATAATAGAATAATGTACTTATATACAATATGTACATTTAGCCCATGTAGTATCGTCCGCAGAGAGGGTGGGCTAATGGGCCTGTCACGGTCGTTATCGCAACGGCCGCAGTGTCTCTATCGACGTCCGCGAGATCGCGACCGACAACCGGTCTGGCCGCCGCCGGCCCGGCCAGCGGCGGTGGCGACGGTGGCATATCTCGCCGGACCTTCGTCAACACCGCACGTATTGTAATTATATTGTCTTGTATTAATATTACCCGTGCAAAATATACGTTATACTGTTGAACGTGTTCGTTGTTATTTACATTCTCTACAAACCGTCTCCACACCTACATTGGCGAAGTCGGTAAAGGAGTAAGGTAAGTGCTAATTTTAATAAAAAATAATTTTACGTAAATTAAAGTAAATTAGCACATATCGGGTTAAAAGAACCTACAATAGGTGTCCTGATCATACCGTTTCCGTATTCTGATTTTTTATTTTAAATAAAATATTAAGGGCTTGTCCAATCTAAGGTAGTAAATTGTAGCAAAATTTGCATAATTTGGCGTAATTCCTACAGTGCTAAACTTTCTTTAGGCTATTTATAGATTGGAAAGTACATATCTCTACCAGCGATAGCCCGAGTTACGTAATCTCATATCTAACGTACTTCAATTAGGTAGATAATAGCAGTTAAATTTAATAATCACAATGAGTACGAAATACATTGGTGAATTAACTATTGCTGAGATTAACCGGGAGTTACATAAGCGTGGTATTGAGACCGGGGGGTCCAAGGCCGATAAACTCTTAGCATTAGAAGAGTATATTAGGGCTAAGGAAAATTTGGATCCAGGATCAGTACGGTTTGGGGAAACTGACGAGACGTCAGCCCAGGTACCGGAAGGGAAAACATCGGTGGCTCAAACTGGGGAGGATGAGGTCGACTCTGAAAAGAGTTTGATAAACCAGTTTATGGAGCAGATGTTAGATAGGCTGGAGGGGTTGGAAACAATGGTCGACAAGCAGCAACTGACAATCGCTACTCTCAGCGAGAGCGTGGAACGCTTGGAGCGGGAGTTAGCCGAAGAAAAGCTCAAGTCGACCGAACGGGTGGAGCAAGCAAGTTGCTCATGCCGTGGAAATTCCCAACAACCATCAACCAGCGACTTATCCGGGGCAAATCAGAGTTGCTCGGACGAAAGTCAAAATCGTCCAGTCAAAACTCAAAAAATGAGTTTTGAGAGCCGATGGGCGAACATACGGAGCAGATTGACCGGGGAAAACCCGAGAAATCGGAGTGTTTCCGGAGGTTCCGGTAACCAGTCCGGAGTGTCCGGTGAAATGTCCGGAGTCTTCGGTAATCTGTCCGGAGTGTCCGGTGAAGTTTCCGGCAGAAGTCATGAGGAAGCGTTACGGAGTAGTTTTTCCGGTGTAAAACGCGTGCATTTCCCGGATAGCCTGCTCATTCCTCAAAATGAGTTGAATATGGCCCGTGCGTCGATACCAGAGTTTGCCGGTAAGAGGGAGGAAGACCCAGTGCGGTTTTTGCTCCAGGCCGAGGCAATACTTGAAGAAACTGGTATCCACAAGGCTAGATGGGTGACCGTTTTGGCTCCTCAGGCAGGAACATGGTGGGGAACCATGAGAGCGTTGGACTTACCATGGCAAGAGTTCAGGTCCGAACTATTGGAGAAGTTCAACGGGGACGAGTTGCAGTCGAGTCTGCAATCAGAATTGTTGAGCACCGCTCAGACCAAGACCGAAACACTGGGGGAGTACGTCCTTCACAAGTACCAGTTGTATCGGAGATTAAACCTAGGTCTAACAGAAGAGGCGGTGGTAATGACAGTGATTGGACTCATGAGTGATGAATTTAGAATTCATGCACGTATACAGCGACTGAAATCGTTCAGCGAATTACGAGCGCTTGCCCATGTTCTGGATGGTAGCAAGGCCGTAATTAAGGCGGGAGTGAGCACCAGCGTACCACCAAAGTCAAAATGGTTGGATAGACGAAAAGCTGAGAGTGCAGAGAAATCCCAAGTGCCGAATCTGAAGCAACGACTATCTTCGGGAGCAGGATGCAGAATATGTGGTAGTCATGACCACTGGCAAGCTGCATGTCCAAAAAGAAAGTCGGAGTCGGGAAACGCCAAAACGACCGGCGGGACCGCCCGGGTCCCGACCGGCCAGGAAGTAACCGGCGGAAAAGTCACGAGTCGTCCAAAGAGTGGTAAGCAACGAAGTTCAACTCGGGCAGTGAGTAACGTTCCGGTACAGGAACCACAAATTACAAGAACTGACCCGAAGAAACGGAACTTCGGAGCGTTACGGACCGGAGACTCGGGAAAGGGCCCGAGGAAATCGGACCAAAAGAGTTCTGAACCGGTGAAATCTGGTAAGAACGTAATTCCTCCGGAGGAAAACTTTGGTCACCCGAAGGAAACCTCCGGAGTGAGGAGTTGTCCGGTGAAAACCGTCGAGCCTCCGGAGAGACGCCGGAGAAATCGCCGAAGCCACCCGAGAAAACCCATTGAAAACGACGTTCCGGTAAAGGAACCACAGTTCGTGACAATGGACCGGGTAAATGGTTCAGTGATGGAAACGGGTTTCGACCAGCGGGACAACAGGTCGGGAAAATCGTTTAGGATTGAAAGTGTTCCGGACAAAAGTGAAAATCTCACCGAGGTGAGGGATCTTTCCAATAAAAATGTCGCGGACAGCATTTCAAGTGATGCGGAACAAGATGAGTTAACACAGGAGTTGTTAATTTGTCCGGTCACATCCGAAGATTTTTCCGAGGAGTTTATACCTTATCCACGGGAAAAGTGCAAGAGGAGAAACTCAGATACGGACTCAAAGTTCGAGTTGAGAGAACCCTTTTGGGGTCTACGGACCGGAGTGTTAGAGTCTCCAGCCATTGCAACGGTGTCAACGGGGAAAATTACAGTAACGGATGTTCCGTTACCGGCCATAGAACTAGAGTTTGCACTCGGGGCAGTAGTAGCGCTACTGGACTCCCAAGCGGCGAGGACATACGTCAAACCGTGGGTGGCAAAGAAGTTTGGCCGGAGTTTTACCGAAGAACCGGAGATTGTCCGGATGGCGGACGGTCGGACCCGAGAAATTACGGAGTTTTCCGAATTTTGGGCCCGGATAGTGGATCTGGAGGTAAGCTTCAGGGCAGCAGTGTTAGACGATCTCATTGGAGATGTCTTCCTGGGCCATGATTTCCTCGTGGAGCAACAAGTCGCTTGGGACTATAGCGGTTGCATAATCCACCTGGGGAAAGAAAGACGTGTTTTCGTGAGTTGGAGAAATCCAGTAACTCCGGTCACCGTAGGAGTGGACTTAACAACTGCAGGATTACCCGAAGGAGAGTACGGTATACGGGTCAAAGAAGTCCTTTGCCAATATCCGGAGGTTTTCTCCGGAGAGGTAGGCAGAACTCGGGTGATAGAGCACCAGATCCGTCTCAAGGATCCAAATCCGGTGGCTCTAAACGCTTACGGGTACTCCCGAGAGAAAAACGAGGTTATTGCCGAAATGGTGCGAGACATGGAGGAACAGGGTTTTGTTGAACCTAGCATATCTCCATGGGCTGCGGTGGTACTCGTGAAGAAAAAGGATGGCTCACGTAGGTTTTGCGTGGACTATCGCCGTTTGAACATGCAGACGGAGTCGGACGCTCACCCGATGCCGGACCTTCATGACATGGTCCGAGGAATGGGTGGAGCGAAGATTTACAGCACCATGGATTTGAAATCAGGATATTGGCAAGTGGGTCTCTCACCAGAGACACGTCCACTCACGGCGTTCAGGACCCAAAGAGGATTATTCCAGTTTAGAGTAATGCCTTTTGGACTTAAAAACGCCCCCACCACATTCTTTCGCTTGGTAAGCGAAGTCTTCCGTGGGTTAGTTGGTAAATTTGTGTTGGTTTATTTGGATGATATTGTGGTATACTCGGAGAGTCCCGAACAACATCTAAACCACTTGCAGAGAGTCTTGGAGCGACTCCAGTCTTACGGTCTGACGTGCCAACCGAAAAAAT